AGGGATGCCTCAGACAGGGATTCTCTTATAAACAGAAGCAGTCCACTTAAAATAATCTTCTTATAAGCCTTGTAATTATGCCTCATATTCTACTGGCAGTGCTTGTGTTAAGAATTGCCCTCTTCCTAAGATCTTAAAATGGGAAAACAGCACATCTAATGATTAAGTATCAAGTTTCCAACAGGGGCATAGCCAATTACTAATTCTTTATCTAAGGCAAATTGCTTAATTTCTCTAAAGTTCAGTTTCCTCATCTATAAAGAAGGGTAAATATTAGTACTTTCATTGAAGAGTTGTAATGATCAGAGATAAATGCCTTAGTACAGTGCTCAGCACATAGGAAATAGCAAAAGAAAAAAAAAATGGTAGCTATTATTACCTAAAATCCAAATTGTCCTGCAGATTTTCCTAAGTCTTCATGAGTGAGTTTGGCAGATTCCTCTTTTCAGAGACAATTCAGCAGAATGTAAACAGCATGGATTTTGGATTCAAACAGACTTGGGTTTAAGTCCAGGATCTCATTCCCTAGCTCTGAAACTCTAAGTCACTTTATTTCCCTGAGCCTCAGGTTCAGCCTATTATAAAATGGGAATAATATTTAATCTTCTGGAACTGTTGTGAGAATTATAAAAGATTATGTTTGTGACACACCTGGTATATAGTAAGCACTCAATAAGAATTAGTTTTTTCTCTGGAAAGCAATGGGCTCTGACACATGATGGGAGGGAGGGCTGCTGAAAGTAGGGCAATGGGTATTAAAACGAAAAGCTGGGACACTGGAGACAAACTTATGCCTTCTGGCTCTAATCTGGGACATGTCATCTACAGTTAAGATGACAGAAAAGACATAAGAATCCAGTGCCATAAAAATGTTGGTACACCGTAATAAAAAAGGCAATATAGACAAGGTATAACAATACATGGGCTTAGGGATCAATTTACAAGAAAGGGTATTTAGTGTGTTTCCCATGCTCACTGTAATGCTTGTCTTTGTACCTAAAGTCCATTACACACCTGTAGGCAAATAATTGGCTTTTCAACTGTTTGTGAGACAGTTTAGCATGAGAACTTTGCCCAGTAGGTGGTCTGCTGGGATGATGACTGGCTGAGCCTATCAGATCCTCTCTCACAGAGTTTGAAAGAAAGGTTGATTATGTCAATAATGGGTGCTGACTGGAGCAACAGAAACAAAATCAATAATGGTCATTACATCATCACAATGCTTTAACTGACATCTGCTTCTAAAGGAAACATTTATTAGACTTATAAATAATCCACATCTCTTCTCAGACTGCTAGAGCCACTGTTGTACCCTCAATATGTAAAGGTCTGAGTTATCTAACAGCCCTGGTTGCGAGGTTATCAAAATTGTGTCCCAACTTCTGTGCTTCTCTGTGTATCTTCATAAATCTTTAGCAGAGGTGATCGAGTATACCTAGGTTCCTAAAAACTTAGAAATATCTTGGTGTGAACTTCAGCCCTGCCACTTACTAGTTTCCTCATCTGTGAAATGGGAGTTGTAAGGATAGAGTTAATAGATGCAAAACATTTAGAATAGCATGTGGCATATAGTAACCGTTCAAATACTGTTAACCATTCAAAAGTAACAGCCTGAGTATGTTCTCTTATCTGTAAAATGGGATTATATTCACCTCATAAGGTTGTTGGATTAAATGAAGTAACACAGATAAAAGGGTGCATAACTCTGTATCTGGTACTTAATATATATGTTGGCTATCCCTTAAAAACAAAATATTTTGAATCACAAAACACTCATCTCAGTAGTGTAGTATTATTAATATAAAAAGAAGTCTGGGCTTTACACATACTAGGGGCTGAATAAATAGTGTGAAAAGTTCCTACTTCAATGAGTGTTGCCATTTTGAACCTCTCTTTCACCTCCCAGCCTCAGAAGCATTGTGGTGCCTCAGATATGGTTCTACTTGGAGATTTATAATAGGAAAATTTTTCCATAAGTATAGGTCTTCTTGGTAAGATAATTTTAGGTCTCTCACCAGTGGGATGGTGTCACTATCCTCACCCTAGCTAAGTAATGCTTGTTCTTTATGAGGCTTACAATAGGGGTCACACATGGGAATAAAAAACCTCGCTTAGATTCAACATTCATTCTTTTATACATAGGCATTTTTCCACCTGAAGGGTCTCAAAAAGGCATACTGAGCTGGCAAATCTCAACAGATTATAGCAATTGGGAATATTTTTTCCTCCATTACCTAGAAAGCATCCTCCATCATGGCTTCATGGCTCTCTCTCCCTTTCATCTAACCCCAGATTGGGTTCTGAGACTCCATTTGATTGACTCTAAAGAAATAGTCAAAATTCCATAGAGAAAGCCCTTGCTAATTAGTTATTTTAACACCCATATTCCTTTAAGTGACTTAAAATCACCATATTATGTTTTCTGAAACTTTTCCTCACAATGATTTCATATCATTTTTATAAAGCAAAAGCTAAACATGTCAAGCTCCAGCCTGATCAAGTTTGAGTGAGATTTCCAAGAAATAGGTACATAGAGTTAGTTCATTTTATGAACCTTTATTTGGAACAGGGGTCCTAACTTTATTTTAATTACCAAGCAACATGTTAAATGAAGACATTTTCTTTTCCCATACTAAATTTGAAAACATAAAACCATACAATTTATTTTATAAGGATAAATTTCCCTTTAACATTCCATTTATACTTTTCTAATTGGAAGTTGGAAGACATTTAGCTGTCTGGCAGACAAAATGGATTAGTGGTTAATATATAAACTACTAATTATGTAACACAGGCACTTTTGCCATTTATTTGTAACAAGGCACTTACAACAACACTGTACCTGCTACTACAGTAAAGAAGCAATATATTTACAAGAATATAGTTTCAATAGGTCAGACAGATTTCATTTTTGAAATTTTGGTTGAATGATTTTACCAATATATCTTCCTGCTTGGGAACATTTTCTAGTATGGAAAAATGAAAAGCTTCAATATAAGTAAAACTTAGGTTTTTTTCTCTTTCTTTCTTTCTTTCTTTCTTTTTTTTTTTTTCTCTCTCTCTTTCTTTCTTTCTTTCTTTCTTTCTTTTTAGATGGGATCTTGCTTTGTCACCCAGGCTGGATTGCTGGAGTGCACTGGCCTGATCATGGCTCACTATAGCCTCAAACTCCTGGGCTCAAGCCATCCTCTCGAGTAGTTGGGATTACAGGTGCAAAAGCCACAGTGCTCAGTTTAACTTTGTAACAAATTAATTCCATCCGTTAACTTCTTGGAAAAAAACTGATGTCATTTCCAAATGGAAGAAAAGTCATTTCTCTGACAGCTCAGACTAAGGAAAAAAGGAACCAATCCTCACCTAGAAACACTGGCAAATACCTGTTTCTACCTTCCTTTAGTCAAGACTTTTACTAGTAGTTTTCACCACCTGTCTCTGCAATAAAATCAGCATATTATATACTGGGGATAGCACTATGGACAAGGAATAAGACCAGGTGTCTTATATTAATAGTGGCATGAGCACTAGATTTGAAGTGGGACATTTGTGATCAAATTCCAGCTCTGTTTTCTATTAGCTGTATGAATCTAGGCAATTTAATTAAATCATCAGCCTGTTTCCTGTTCTCTAAAAATCAGGATAAAAATCATCCACGTGCTCACAGGATTCTTTTGAGAATTAAATAAATCATAATATGTCAAAATACCCAGAATAGTCCCTAACACACTGTACATGCTCAACAAATGTGATGGACCCAAATCTCTCTGGTGTTTGGTCTCCTCTTCTGTAAAATGGGAGATGGGGTGAAATTAGATGTTTTCTAGGTCTTCTGACACAAAAGATCCAAAGACCATAAAAATACTGCATTTAGAATTCTTTTGGGAAAATTGTAGAAAACAATAATGGAGGGAAAGCACTGTACCAGTGCAATTCATTGCAATCTATGCAACCAATGTAATCTGAAAGTATTTGTAGAAAGGGAATTGAGGCCCAGAAGGGGGTGAGAGGATTATCCAAATTAAAAGTTAGCATTAGAGCTAAGGCTAGAACCCACATGAATCACTGTAAGTCAGATGACCCAGGGCTTTTTCCTCTACGGTCTAAGGAAGAGGCAATTTAGACATTATTTGGAAGCTGTTACACTAGCTTCACTAAATATGTAGAAAATCAGGCTTAGTTTGTTTTTGGCATCCTATGAGTCATATAGTTCTTACTTTCTCCATACATAGCTGGTACCTTTACATTTTCTTCAGATAGTCCACATGCTCCTTTCCCATAACTTACTAAAATATAAAGCAAACTCATCCCTTATCATAATTTACCTGTTCTATCTCCTATTCCTGTATCCTTTCTGTAGCAATGATTAGTAATAAATTAACCAGGCAAAATAATCCAGCCCATAGCGTTTACCTAAAATGGTTCACAGGAAGGTGGAAGATTTTAGCTTATGGGCATATGAGGACGGAAGTAACTTTTGTCTGCCATGTTGTATAAAGGATGAAGGTGCAGCAAAATGTTTCCGAGCATTTGACCTTACACAAGTTCAACCAAATGATATAATCAAATACTTAGGAGTAAAATCAGGAGAAAATGAGATTGATAGGGAACTAAAACTGAAGGTAAATGAAAGGTGCTACGATGTCTATCTTTCATGAGAGTATAATCAGATGTGTTACTCTTCAATTATAGAATCAATTATCAAATTAGAAATGTAATTATACTATAAAGGTAAAAGTTCACAAGTTGTACGGCTATTGGTTTAAGAAAAAAATTCTAAGAAAGGAATTTTTATTACCTTTGTAAGATAATAGATGAATCTAAAAGTAAAACCTGATGTCTATCAATTTTTTTAAAAAAATTCAAGTATGGTATTGCTGTTAAATAAAAGTATGAGCAGTTATCTTTAGATCAGAATCATTTACATTTCTATATTTAAGTAAGTATTATTCACAATTTAAGAATTTTCATTAAAGCCAAAAGAACAAATGATACACAATTCCTACCAATGGAAAATTTCATAGATATTTTTCAGTTTGTAATAATCTCTTCTATGGCTCCCGAGGATGTTCCAATACAAACAAACTTACCCTAGAAAGGAAAAAGCATCAATTATAAACAAAATGGAAGATTCCTTCACTGAGGTCACAGTCATACAGTCAAGTACCAAGACAGTTAAATACGTTTAACCCAAATTTAACAGAAGATTAATTTCTCATTTCATTAACCAATGAAAAAAGTCTTCACTCATACACATTCTCATATGTGGTAGGAAGCATAATTTATGAATAGTTAATACTTAGTAAAAAGTCTCTCCATAATTGCACTTTGAATGTCTTCATGACTCACAATGGAAAGATTTTCTCAATAGATCTGCTCTTCAATATAACTTTATGAAATATTGGAATTCTTTCATGGATCAATTTTTAAGTTAGGAAAAACATCTAACTTATTTGACCTAGTTTAGTAGTATACTTGCTAAAATATAATATGGTCATTGCTCCAAATTTGAGAGTGTCGTATCAGAAAATTGCAGGCATATGACAATTTGTTCATTTTAATTGAGTAAAACATAGATAATTACTGGGGAGATGATAAGTAGTACAGATGGTCATCAAATGCTTTCCCTCAAGGATCCTGGCTTTCCAGAGTATGTTCTTTACAACCTTTGGTGTCCCACCATTCCCTATGTTGTGCTCCCAACTTCCATTGGGCTGAAAGTTATTTGCATGGCTGAGTAAAACATTTTAACTTATTTATTTATACTTCATTTCTTCGACTTATTAAAGAGTTGTTGTTTTAAGATAAAAGAATGAACACATTCAACCAGGACTTATAGTAGCGGTAACTTGAGTTGGTTCAATTTTGTTTTCTTTGTTGTTTTATTGGTTAGTTTAAAAACATATAGGCCGAGATTCTCAGAAACCAATCAACAATCATATGGAAAAATGTAAAGGATAACAAAATGTAAATAATAATACCATGCAAAGTAACCTTCTTTTCAAATATAGCATAACAAAAATTGAGTAGAAACAAGAGACTCATCAAAAGTGTGTTTCAGAATTTCATTTGAAAGTATGAAAAGTTAAATTTTTCTGGGAATCTTAACAACAATGATATTTAGTGAAGAGAATTTTAAAACAGAACAAACCTTAATTTCTTAAATGTTGCAGAATTTTTTAGTTATATGGAAAAAGTATTAGTGAAACATTTTTAAAAATTTAAAGAATTCAAATAGTCATTAAATTAATGGGTAAAAATTCTAATGATAATTTAAATTTAAAAATGGATGAATATAGATTAAAAGTCAACTGCATTTCTGCCTGGATAACAAAAATAAACATAAAACACAAAAATTGCATGTCCATTGTATGACACCAAATGAGATGTTTTTGGCTATGTAAACATATTAAGTAAACATGTTTTCCCTGTTTTTATTTTAATGTATCACATGTCACTGCAGAAAGATTAAAAACTACTTTGAATTTTACAAATCCCCAAATCTTTATTCTATTTAAAGTACTTTACTGTGCAGTACTATGGTGCTCGATTTTTGATCTAACTTTTGAGGAAGATGTTTAATATATAAGAAGCTAAGCTAGCTCTGTCAAAGACATCTATAAAAACATGTCTCTCACACTTTTACACATAATATACAGAACTATAAAATCTGTCAAGGTGTAAACAGTCTGCAATTTCTTTATGTACTGAAAAGTACAGCAAGGCAAACGAAAGGTTCATATACTGATAGTGTTTAAACATTCTGGCATTTAACAGAATGCCAGAATTTAGTGTAACTGAAGTGCAACTTATCAACATGTACACACGAAGAATGTTTCAGAAGGAAGTTAGGCAAACAGAAACACCAGTTCTTTAAATTACACTTGATCACGTAGATGAGCAAGTCTCTGTGAAAGTTCATCCTGGAGAAAGCAAACTTTACAAGTCACCACGGCCATGACAAATATAAAACACTAGTATTTTAAGTAGCTCACATTTAAATATGTTTAAAATATTATCTCAAAAAATTCACACAAACACCAACATCGGGAGGTTAATTTTTCAAATATTTCAGAAGAAATAGAGACCTTAATACAGCAGAAGCTATGAAGGGAAGCAAATTTAATCTCTAAATGAAATGTGCATGTACACAGAAAATACCCACCATTAATGGAGCTAAAAGCTAACCACATTTTGCTCATTTACAATGATGTAATATTATAGTAGAAAAATACTCTTTAAAAATATATAAATATGTAATACTTATACATATATACTATGTTGATATAAATATATAATTTTGAATTTATTTAAATACTTATACAAAATTAATTAAATACACATCAAGCATATACCAATCAAGGTAACATCCAACCTGTACCTGTTCTGTGGAAGCAACACTTGTGCCAACATAATCTGTCTGACCCTGCGGTAGTTCCATATTGAGATCAAGGTTATCATTTAAAAATAATAGCAACAAAGAAATTAAAGTACCTAGGAATATACTTGACCAAGGACATAAAAGACCTCTACAGGGAGAACTATGAAACACTGAAGAAGGAAATAGCAGAGGATGTAAACAGATGGAAATCCATATCATGCTCGTGGGTCGGCAGTCTCAACATCATTAAAATGTCTATACTCCCAAACTGATCTACAGATTCAATGCAATACCTATTAAAATCGCATCAGCATTCTTCACAGATATAGAAAAAATAATTTTACGCTTCGTATGGAATCAGAGAAGACCCCGAATATCAAAGGCAATCCTAGGCAACAAAAAAAAATGGGAGGTATTAGTATGCCAGATATCAAACTATACTACAAAGCTGCAGTAATTAAAACAATCTGGTATTGGCACAAAAATAGGAATATTGACCAATGGAACAGATCTGAGAATCCTGATATAAAACCATCTTCATATAGCCATCTAATCTTTGACAAAGCAGACAAAAACATACACTGGGGAAAAGAATCCCTTTTCAATAAATGGTGCTGAGAAAACTGGATAGCCACTTGTAGAAGGCTAAAGCAGGACCCACACCTTTCACCTCTCACAAAAATCAACTCACGCTGGATAACAGACTTAAACCTAAGGTATGAAACTATTAGAACTCTAGAGGAAAATGTTGGAAACACTCTCCTAGACATCGGCCTAGGCAAAGAGTTTATGAAGAAGTCCCCAAAGGCAATCACAGCAGCAACAAAAATAAATAAATGGGACATGATCAAACTGAAAAGCTTCTGCACAGCCAAAGAAACAGTCATGAAAGTAAACAGACAACCTACAGAATGGGAGAAAATTTTTGCATCCTATGCATCTGATAAGGGGCTGATAACTAGAATCTACTTAGAACTCATGAAAATCAGCAAGAAAAAATCAAATAACCCTATTGAAAAGTGGGCAAAAGACTTGAACAGAAACTTTTCTAAAGAAGACAGAAGAATGGCCAACAAACATATGAAGAAATGCTCAACATCTCTAATCATCAGGGAAATGCAAATCAAAACCACAATGAGATATCACTTAACTCCAGTGAGAATGGCCTTCATCAAAAAGTCTCCAAATAACAAATGCTGGCGTGGATGCGGAGAGAGAGGAACACTCCTACACTGCTGGTGGGACTGCAAACTAGTTCAACCTCTGTGGAAAGCAATATGGAGATACCTTAAGGTGATACAAGTGGATCTACCATTTGATCCAGCAATCCCATTACTGGGCATCTACCCAAAAGACCCAGTGACACTGTACAAAAAAGACACCTGCACCCGAATGTTTATAGCAGCACAATTCATAATTGCAAGGCTGTGGAAACAGCCCAATTGCCCATCAATCCAATAATGGATTAATAAAATGTGGTATATGTATACCATGGAGTACTATTCAGCTCTAAGAAACAACAGTGATATAGCACATCTTATATTTTCCTGGTTATAGCTGGAACCCATAGTACTAAGTGAAGTATCCCAAGAATGAAAAAACAAACACCACATATACTCACCAGCAAACTGGTATTAACTGAGCAGCACCTAAATGGACACATAGGAACTACAGTAATTGGGTATGGAGCAGGTGGGAGGGGGAGGGGTGGTGGGTATATACATACATAATGAGTGAGATGTGCACCATCAGGAAGATGGTTACGCTGGAAGCGCAGACGTGGGGAGAGGGGGGGCATTTTTTGAAACCTTAAAATTTGTACCCCCATAATATGCCAAAATAAAAAAAAAAATTGGGATAAAGAACATACACACACAAAAAAATAATTAGCATACATAAATGTTAATACAGGCATTTCTATTCCTTAACCTAACTAATAATCAAATAGGCACTGCACATTTGAATACTCCACCTTGCATTTTACATTAATTTAAATAAAAGAAGTTCCATTTTATAGATGTAAATAGAATTTAAACATCTTCTGAATGTTCACCTTATGATAAGTGATTTACTATATTAGAGCATTTTTGTTGAGCTCTAACAGTCACCCATGTGTATGGTAATCTTATTATAGAAAATCCAATAAAAGACTGGGAAATGGGTTGGTCTTTGGAACAAAAGACCAAAATAATGGTCCTTTAACGTATTAGATTTACTGGAGGTTACTGTGTATCTCCTGCTGTGAATGAAAATATGCTTAAAAAAATAAAGCAGGCTAGATAAATGTAATCTCCAGATTCATATCTAATATTTGTGTTAACTTCCATTTTGGTGTTTAGCTCCTGAGCTACCCTTAATAGGAATCATTATTTTTTTAAACTATTTGGATTCAAATAACAGATATTAAATCCTGAGGCTAGTGATTAGAGATTACATATTTTTTAAAATTAATATACATAATAATTTTAATTAACATACTTCTATTAAATGGCAATATAAATTCTCAGAAAAAAACAATAAATTTCAAAATGTTATTGTATATAAGAACTATATATGAACACATAGTCTCATAACAATTAATTTGACTTTGAAATACAAACGATTAAAAAATTGCTTTTTAAAAATCTAAATGCTCTTCTAAATAATTTGGCTTAAGGACAAAAATAATCACAAATTTTTTCAACAATGAAAGTTCATATATTAAGGTTCTCCATAGAAACAGAAGCAATAGTAGATATATAGAGATTATATAAGAAGAGATTTATTATGAGAATTGGCTCACACAATTAGGGGGGCCACAAAGTTCCACAGTCTCCCCTCTGCAAGTTGGAGAATCAGGAAAGCCAATCGTACGTAGTTTGTCTTTCCCCTTTTATTCTATTTCAGCCCTTAATAGGTGAGATAATGCCAGCCTACATTGGTAAGGATAGATCTTCTTTACTTAGCCTACTGATTCACATGCTAATCTCTTCAGAAATACCCTCACAGACACACCCAGAAATAATGTTTTATGAACTATCTGGGCATTCCTTAGCCTCATCAAGTCGACACAAAATTAACCATCACGGTACTAGATAGCTAAATTGTCTGGAATGCAATGACAGCGAATCATTATTTGAATTCAATCATATAACTGAGGTTGAGAAAATTTAAATATACTTGTCCAAGATCACTCCAGTGGTAAGACAGGATTTTAAACTAGGCTTATCTGCTTCCAAAGTGCATGATTTGATCTTCACTGTACTACTCTAGGATATAAACTAATGTTTCTGCTTCTCTCCAAAACAGTGTATGCCAATTCCAGTTTGAAAACACTACAGAAAATAAAAACTTTAAGAGTCATTATGAGATTCTATAGACAGATTTTTATTGAAAAGTTAAAGATATTTTATATTTTGTTGAAGAGAATCATAAACTCAAACAGCAATCGGATACTTAAATATCTTTAAAGATGGTCATCAGTGTTTCTACAGCAGTGGTTCTATCTGTTTCTACTGCTCCAGTTACTATACATTATTCACATAACTAATCTCTGGAGTTTGGTACCCTACTAACCCAAGGAACATCTGGCAATGTCTGGCCTTGTCACAGCAGAATACTCTTGGAAGATCCTTTAAAAAGATACATGCATTTGATATACGCTGTGCATAGTAGGTATAGAGCAAATGTTTAAACACTCCTGCCTCCCTTGGTCACTTTCCTCTATTTCTTGCATCACACATTAAATGAGTCTATCTCCAGAGATTTTTAACAAAATATAGGATTATTTGAACAGTCACATTTT